ATGTATGTTTTCTTCGAAAATACTCAAGTACTACCAGTAGAGTACTCTACTGTCAAATACCTTTTACTCGCAGTAGTTGCGGAAGGCAAAGTAAATACTCTACGCGTGTTGCTATTGATCGGTAGTTTACGTACGCTTGCTGAAACTGGTTTATGCTTACTCACAATTGACCCGAACGATGAAAGTAGGGGATGGAAAGTATTTGCGCGGCGATCGGATGTCTTGTTGGGCCGTTTAAATGGAATTGCGCAGGAGTCTAATATGTACATATGTATGTGGACATTGATGTTGTCTTCTTCAGCCTACATCCTTATATGGGTCGGGGTCGTTCTGTTAAAAATCGTACGGATTTCACAAAAAAAAAAATCACTTTGATAAATAACACCAAACTTTTTTTTAGGAATTCCTTCGGAAATTTAGTCGACACCTGTATCAGGAATTCATTAAACAAATTTTATTTTCAGAGATATGAAGGTTTACATTTTAGATTTTTTACCGAAACTTGCCATATTCAAAATTCAATATCTTTGGTTCTAGTAATCGTATCGTACCCATTTAGTGCATGAAAAAGCTTAAGTACAATTTGTAAACGAACGACCCTTACAATCTAATGCTCATATTTAATTGCACATACAAATGAATAACAAGTTGAATGGATAATTATCATTAGTTGTTTATTTTACCTGGCAGCAGCACCGTGCGGCTATTGGCTTCTTGTAGGACAGCGCTTGCATTGCCACCAGGCGTGAAGGCGACCAAATGCACATCAAACAGTGTACCGTTCAGTTCTACTTCCGGTATGAAATACATACAGGCGTCCTTTAATAAAATGGAAATACATAATAAATTTTGGTACATCTGTATGTATGTATAAGTATTATATGCATGTTTTGTAGTAGCTTGTGGTTTTAATTTAATTACTTATTCAAATTACAGTAGATATTAAATAATTAACTTTATAATAGGTGTATTCACGATTCGGTGCATACGGTGCATAGATAGCATAAATAGAATAATTGGATAATTTTGTTGTTGTTTCATGTGTTCAAACAACAACAAAATTAGCCAATCATAGCTATTTATGCTAGCTATGCACCATGCTATATAGTATGCACCGGATCTTGAATACCCCTAATGTATTTCGTGAATGGGTTAAAATTAGTATATTTGCATATAATAACGTACATATGTATAGAATATCATAATGAAATATCTGACACAATTCAAAATGTTATTTGATGAATTATATTGCAAAAATTGTTGCTTTTGCTATATGTTTTGTGAGGGCCGGATTAAAGCATGGGCGACTGATGATCCGCGGCACAGGGCCGCACATTATGATAACGGGAAAATTACTTTGAAAATTCTAAATGTTCAAAAACCTTTTGTCATCGAATTTTTTTGGTAAAATCTTTAAGAGCGGCTGTTGCCAGACGCCGTGCTCTCATTTTTTTATTTTTTTAATATTTTTTTTTTGTTTTGTGTTACAAAAAAGTCACAAAGAGCTAATCATCTGTAGTTTTACATATTTTTGTTGTACTTTACGAGCTCTCATTTCTTGAGCTGAAATTTTCAATAAACTTTAAACTTACTTCCCGAAAACTAGGGACGAATTTCGAAGCATTTACCAAACTTGCTCTACTGCTGTTGTTATTTCTTTGGAGGTGTATGTAAGCATGTTTAAGTACATACATACGTACATACCTGTCCTGTTCTACATTTTACATTTACATTTATATTTAAATTTTTTTCCTGTTTCTACATTTTATGTACAATTACTTAACCATAAATTCATCAAAATATTTTCTTACCTTATCAACATTGAAAGTATAATCTCGGCCACCATCTATATGATCCACGACCATTATCATATAGTAGCTCAGCGGATATTCAGCTCTTTGCCAAGTTATATTTAAAGCGTATGTATTTTCCCGTATATATTTGCGATTTACTTTCAATCCTTTAGGTGTAAAAGGCGCTGTTTAATGAAATTATATGCTAGTTATTTAAAATTGTAACGATTGTAGATGAAGAAAAATAATCAGGAAAATTCAGCAACAACGAGAAGTGTAAAATGTACAAACCGAGTACTTATACCGTCAAACCATATCCCAAAGCACATCGCATTTGACATGTATGCTAAAAATATAGTAATACTCGAAGCATAGGCATCACTTCGTGTTATACGCCTTAAATACGACGCAGATGCCTAGTTGAAAATTATATAATGTATACATATATATTTATATGTATGGGTCATTCCATGTCAAACGGACCAAAGCTCTGCCCAAAATTCCATACGATATGAATTAATGTAAAGCATATCAGAAGTCTCGCAAAATTTATAATGCACCAAACAAGACGTGGCAGAATTGAAAATTCAGGGTTACGTATGTAAATGCTACGACTCTTAGCAAGCGTATGTCCGTAAACGCGCAAATAAGTTTGTCATTCAGTTTATTAAAACAGTTGTCAGTTGATAGATCAAGACGGATTCTAATATTTTTAGGATCGCTGATCACGTGTGTACCATCATAATTTCAATATTCAAAATGGCGGATCCAATATGGCTGAAGATTTTTTAAAAATTTACCGGATTCATTTGGAATTCATTATGCGTGAGTTATCGGGTTCGCTGATTACGAATTTGAATTCGGATTAGAAAACTTCAAAATGGCGGATCCAACGTGGTGGACAAAAAATTCAAAATCGATTGGATACGCTTAAAACTTTACAATTGGCGGTTCTTTAGGCAGCTGACTATGAGTCCGAAATCAAATTTAAAAAATTCATAATGGCGGATCCATATTCGGTCTACCATTTATCACATATGTACATGGCGTATGAGTTACCCAGACTACATGAGAATGTTGAAAAATCGCCTCAGATGACAAAACTGTTTCAGTTTAAAAAAAAGGGAATTAAAAATATTTAAAATCTTTTTCAACGGAATCGTAATAATGCTGTTTTTTCACTTTTTTCAAAGATCGGTTTAAGTAAAACTTGAATAACTGCGCCAAAACTATTCCGATTTTGACTTATGAAGTATCAATGTAAAGTTATTTTCTCACTTTTTTGAATTCTTTGCAAAAAAAGACTCATTCGTTTCTATTTTTTTTTTTAATTATCAACGCATCTTAACTCAACTGCGATTGACGCTCGTTCATCTTACCTTTCTCTTTCATATTTTAAATGAGTTTATTTGCGAAGAAATAAAAAGGGTGAAAAAATACAATCCAATGACACCTCGCAAGCCTAAATCGGTAAAGCTTTGGCTAAGTTATTCAAGGTTTTCTTAAACCAATCTTTGAAAAAAGTTCAAAAACAGCATTAAAAATCTCATTATTATAATTCCGTAGAATTCTTTTTTTATGTTTTCATGCAAATTTTTTTAACTTAAACTGTTTTGTTATCAGAGGTGATTTTTTTTTTCAAAAAATATTTTAAAATACTATTTTTATTCATAAAAACCTCGATTTTTGGAGGTGTTTTTACGTTGGTCCAGCTCACGCAAATCTTAATATTTTCCGAAATATTTTAGTGCAAGTCTTAAAATATGAAATATTTCATAATTCCAATGGAAACACAGTACCGATTTGTTTTTGTATGGGGAGTGATGCAGTCTAATGTACATACATGTATTTATGTTACTGTACTCGTATACACGAAAAGCCAATATACAACCATCAGTTAGCCATCATCATTGACAGATCCGAACTCTGTCAACCAGCGGCGTTCACAAATAGAGTATGTGCAGGACAAAGCTTAAATAATAGCCATCAGCCAATATTAATGCATTGACGCGTAAGTACTAGGAACACTAGAAAAAATATCCCATTTGCGGAATTTCGATAACTTTTAGTGAACTATAAAAAGTTAACTTGAAACCAGCTGAAAAGTAATGCAGGAGTCATGCAATGCGTAATCGGTAGTTTGTAAAAAAAAAAACTTGAAAAAATATTTCCTTTTTTATCGATATTTTATGTCCAAAAGTAGTTAGTTGACACCTAATACAGAGGTAACCACCCTTGACTATTTCGCGACCAGCGCCATACAAATACATATACTAGTCAGCTTTCCTCCAAGAAAATATACAGATAATAGTGAATTTTAGTTCCTTCTTAATTAACTTCAAATTAACTTATAGATACATTTCCTGTAGGGAGCAATCATTACAACATACATATGTAAATACGAGCAACATATGTATGTGTGTTAATAGCATTTGAATATTGTGATAATTTATAAATAGTTCATTGAGTAGCTATGATTTATTTCCAACAAAGGCTTATCCTGGATAAATAGATATAATTATGGAGGTTTAAGAATACATATGTACATACATAATTACCTTTAAATTCATTTACGCACATGTACGCCGCATTTATAGCGCTCCTACACGATATGTATTTGCAAACCAAACTTTTGGTTGTCGATTTTTTCGTTTGAATACGTTTATGCTCTGCACTTCGCAGGTGCGTTTTCATAATTCGGAGATACAACGTTGTCTCTGACGGGATTAGCATATAACCGCAATCATCTCTACACACTCAGCTACAGCCGCTTTTATAAATTTGTCTTTAAATGTTCAACTTGAATAAATTTTCTTCGTCGTTTTATTTGGTTCTGCACTTCACAGAGGCTTTTTCGTCATTATGAAAAACCAAAAACAGAAAAAAATAAAAAATTAAAATTATGTATCGCGCTGACGATATTCGTACTGCTGGAAGCCATCAAATAACAGCAAGCACTTCTGCACGTTCAGCCACTGCCTTACATACGAAGTTGTTCTCAAATATTCAACTTCAATCAAATTTCTCACAATCGGCTTATTAACCATCAAATACACAGCACAGCAGTAGCTAGATCATTACAATGATTGGTGCAACACAATGAAAGCCGATATGGAATATTGAATCCCATTTATCCATATATTCCCCCTCCCTATGTTATGAAGCTATCTACACTGAGGGAAATAATGCATAGACAAAATGAATACTTTATATTTCATTATCGTTTAAAAATGTTCGTATTTAAAAATAATATTTTCATACAAAAATTTGTTACGTACGTATTTGACTGTTCACATCTGAGTATGTATATGTAAGTGATGGGAGAAAAATCTCTAGTTCTGAACTGGTGCGTTTCTAGTGCATTTAGGCCCAGTACTGGTTCGCGATAAATCTCTTTTGCATGAAAAGAACTGGCGAATTTAACATGGCGATGTCCTAGGAAGTATCAATTGCCCCCCCGCTGCATCCCTTTTTCGATAGTTCCGAACCAGTTCTAAAATCGACAGACGAAAGAAAAAAGTATCAAAATTTGTCTATCTTTTCGGTTTTTCCGTGTGCGATTTTAAATTATTTTCAATGAATTTTTCTTTTCAATTTGAAATTAAATTTGTTGGAATGATTGTAAGAAATGTACGCTTGGCTGTAGGTGACTTTGCAGAGGCGCGCGCTGGTATTGGTTAGATTCCAGACGGTTCCAAGATGTTAATACGAATTTTGGTTTTGTATTACCAAGCAATGAAAAAGCATCTGCGAAGTGCAGAATGAAAGTGCATTTGAACGAAAAAGCCCCCAAATACATATCTATGTAAAGTAAACAAGCCCCCCGCTGCATCCCTTTTTCGGTGCAAATTAAATATTTTTTTTTAGTTTTTTGTCTTGATTATTCGCTTCACGGATGCTTTTTCAGAACGAATGCGGTCATTTTAATATGCGCGTAATTGAATTTAATATTTAACAATATACAGTACTTTCGTTGACGTTTATAGTAGGATCATTTACGTTTCTATTTGATTTTAATATCTTTTCCGCTCAGTGTACGCCACTGCAGCGCAGCATTTTCCAGCTTAGAGAAGGAGGCAAAAGCGCTTTATCCAGCGGTGAATGACAAACACGACAAAGTACGTCCTGGTAACAAACAAAGTGTTTTTCCATTTAAGGCCACACGTCACTGTTGGCAGTTACAATGATTAACACCTCCAATGAATTCAGCTCGAAGCTGAAGCGAGGAATAACAGTTGTTTTTATGTGCATATATATGTTTTTACGTACTAAACAATTTGCCATAAAAACTCATCACCGCTTAGTTGAAATTGTGTAATTTTTAATTTGTAGTTAGTGCTTCACTTTATTCGAAATTTCACACTAATTTGACTGTCAAGCTAAAGGCTTTCATTGAATTCATTAAACAAATATTTATTTCCTGTTATCTGTTCGAAATACGAACTAAATTTGGAAACAAAATTTAACTTTCATCATGTACTAAGTAAGAGCTTGACACTTGTGTAACAATAAGTACCTACAAAGTAACCGCCGTCTCTCCTGAATGCAGAGTAGCTAAAATAAAATGTAAACGAGACTCCGATAACAAAGTAAACACAAATTTGAAACAAAGTTTGCTCAAGCATATATATTTTACCTGGTAGCAGGTATTTACATGTTTTTTAAATACATTCACACAATACATACATATATGTTGTATCAGGTATAAATACGGTGACCATTCGTCTCGATTTTGGCGGTACAGTACTAATTTTGAGAAAATTTTCCCGCTGAATATTTTTTAAAGTCGGGGCGTGTAAGTGTCCCGCTTTTTCATATTTGTACCGATTAAATCCCGATTTGCAGTGTTTGTCTTTTTAATTCTTCCTGTACTCTCGCAAAAAATTATTAAAAAGAACCAGGGACGTAACAGTTATAAGAGAAATGATGAAATTGCCTTATTTATCCATTGATTAATTCAAATAATGGTTATAATCAACCATAAATTTAAGATATATTTAATTTTGGTCATCGTAACCAATATAAGTGAGAATAATTTTTTTGTTTTGGTTATGAATAACGTTTGTTGCTATAATACCAAATAATTTGTTGGTTACCAATACTCATTATCGAAAGTAATTTTATTTATTTTATTTTTATGCTTTTTTGGAAAAGGCTTTAGAAGTTAGCTATTTACTGTAAAAGTTGTCATCGATAATCAAAAAGTAAAATTACCTTCGATAATGATTATTGGTAACCAAAACATTTTTTGGTTGCTATAATTGGTTTTCTTAATAAATATAAATATTTCTCATTTATATTCGTTACGGTGGCCCAAATAAAATATATCTTACGATAATGGTTAAAAATTCCCTAAAACAGACAAAGGAAATTTGACATTAGTTAGATTGTAAGAACTACTTAATACAAATTCTTTCAAAAAATTCATGAATATGAAAAATATAAGCTGTAGATACAGTGGCGGAAATATGTACATATATGTAAATAGGGAAGAAGCATTTTAGCATTCTTTGCCTATTCCCCTTTCGACTATTTAATGTTTATTATTTTTTTATGAAAGTGTAGCTCCTTATATAACAAAAAAAAAAAACCATGTAAATCAAACTTTGTACAAAAATTACCAAAATTCGATAAAGTTTCATCAAAATTGTGAGCTTTTAAATTAGATGTCTTAGAAACATTTTGAGTATGCCCATTCCATTCGTTTTAAAAGACTCTAAGGCCTTTAACGCTACCTGAATATCCGACATAATATTTATTCTGGCCTCATTTGCCTTCTACGATGACATTCGCCAACACAGACTTCGATTGCGAAGACCTCCGCCTGGAATATGGCTGGGCACGAGCCCAATGGTAGACATTTCTGGAATCTTGGTCCAAGTAAGCCATAAATTATATCGCTACCTAAAGGTGAATAGGTGCCAAGTCCATTTTCTTTTCAAAATCTAGTTTTTTATGCAGAATGGCAGTTAATACCAAAACTACATCGATTTTTCGTCTCTCCTGAAGAATTTTATAAAAATGGACTTGGCATCTTTTAACCCTTAGGTGGCGATATGGGGATGTTCGTATTATATATTGACAATTATAAGGGTGTACGTTTGTGCTTAGGAGTCAGGTATATTAACATCTTTGCGGCCGCCGTTATGCGAACGCTCCGGTGAAATATTCGTGTAAAAAGGGTTGCTAAAATGTTTGGAGATACAAATTTTCTATTTTTCGCAAATAACTTTTACTCATTGTGCCGAAACCTACCAAAACACCATCAATCCTACCAATCTACCAAATGGAAAAAACCTACTAGTTTTGGTAGGAAAAGCCCATGTTTGACAACAATGAATTTAACCATAAAAATTATATCAATCCTTTCCCTGCGACTGACAAGTGTGCAGGAAGGTTAATAAGTTTTAAGAGACACATTTAATGTGGAAGGTTAATAAGTTTTAAGCGACACATTTAATGTGGAAGATTATATTGAGAATCCCATCGGAAATTTCTTAAGGCAACAAGTAGGAATTGCTTTGAATTGATTCTATCTTGGCTGAGTAAATATGATTCCTTGGATTCCAAACCACCGAACCGTATTCCAGAATCGGTCTAACTTATGTTTTAAACAGTGTTTCACTGATATAAGGTCACAAAAGTAGTATTGAAAAGTTCGATTTTCGAAAATAAAAATTGCTTTCGAAAGTTACTTTACTTGCAAAGTGTAACTACTCTTTTGGAAATGATGGAGTTTGACGGACTTTTCAAAAGGATTTGCACTTGCCATGTCTAACAACTACATATACACACACATGCATATGTACATACATATATATACCCAGTTCTAATAAAGCTTCCAAAAAGAAGGCCTTATTGAAAAATCAATTCCTGAAGGCTTTTGTTTTCAATTGCTCCTCATTTCGCCGACTGGGAACGAAGCCATATTCGTACGATTTCAGTGAGATAGTGTTTGTAATGGCGCTGGCGCTAATAACTACAAAAAAATAGAACTTTTGTATATTTTATCAATTTTTATAAATTGTTACATATTTTACCAATAAATGCGGCAGTAAATTCAATTTATTTTTCTTTATACCAACCACAACCACAAATTTGGTAAAAGCACTTATTTTTTGGTGTAATACGGCCAAAATTGTACATGGATAGCTTTAAAGTAATGTAAAAGTTTTTTCTTTTTTATTTAACTTACGGCAAATGCTGAAATTGTATTTGTACCATTCCGCACAGGATGGGGCCTGTATGTTGAACCAAACCATTTTACTCTCTTTGACGGAATTGTTCGTATTTTTGGCGCGTATGCCAACCTTGTAGACGGCCGAAAAAGTTAAATTCTCCAAAGTATACGTGTATAAGTAACGTGGCTGTTTTCATGGAAAATTGCGACAGGACGTTGAAAAAGTAGCCAGGTTCAAAGAGTTGCGGAAAATAAAAAAAGTGAAAGTTTTCAGTCGTTGAATTATAAAGTATATATGTACATAAATATCGTGACATTTTGATAAAACAATCTAAGTGACTTAAGTTTAAAACAGAATACGTTTTCCCTAAAAGAATATATATATGTATATTTAGATCAAGCTTCCATTAAAAGTCCTTTTTAAACTACACTTATGGCTAGGTAATGTTTAAAATATTGTTTGGTAACCCAATAAAATATTTCTTTAAGGGGAAAATGGTTTAACTCAAGATAGGTTGTTTTATCAAAATGCCACAGCTATGCTCATACATAAATACTACATTTGTAGGTATGTACATACGTTAATGGTAAACTATTAATTTTTACATTTTTAATGCTTAGAAAACAGTAGTGGCCTTTTTATATATAGTGAAACCTCGACATAACAAACCTCGATGAGCAAAAATTTCAATATAACAAACGTTTTGCTGAGGGCTCTGAAAAAATCTCGTTGTTGTGAAATTTTTCATATAAAAATGCTGCATTGATACAACAAAGACATTTTGAACATGAAAACCTTCGGAGTATATTGACGTGTTAAGGGCCGTTTTCTAGACCGCCTGTTAAAGAGAATCGGAGCTTTGATTGCCTGTCAATTTTTCGCTCACATCCTTATAACACGCGATCGATAAAAAGTCGATAAAGCAGACCGGCCATAAATTTTTTGTAGGCAATCGAGTAAACGGCCCTGAGTCGCGTTAGCAAAAGCCTCTATATATAAAGAATTGCACCACCCAGCAGTGTCAAGTGTCAAGTGCAACAACGCGAAAGGCTAAGTGTCCAGTGTCTGTCAAATGAGATGGGTTGCCTTTACATTTGATATTGGCACATGGTAAACAAACATGGTATGTAATACCATACTTAACAAAAAGAAAAAAAGGTGTGTAAATTTATCTATTGCAAATTGGTTGAAACATGTCACTACGAACCTTTAAACCCTTATGGAAAGTGCTTCGGTTTCAGGTTCGGATCAAACATTTGTGAAAAATTTCAGTTTGGTTAATGGTTCAGGTAATTAATAGAAAAAAAAACAGGTTTCCGGTTCAAAACCGGTTCACGTCCCTGGGTAAAACACAATCAGCCTTATCATGAGTTTCATTTTCCCCGAACCGGTTCACTTTCACTCTTGGTTTCCATGGTTTTACTAAGGGCGGATGACAAATTTTCGGATGAATTTTTTTTTCAGGTAAAACTCAGGATAAGGAAGAATAAAAGCTTGCAATAAACAAAAATTATAAATTTTCATTTTGAGATCTTAGATCTCAAACTTTAAATAGACATAAACAAAACGTGGTAACCAATGCACTTGGCCCGATTTCCAACTACTCCAAATTTATAAAATTTGTTGCATTGTATTATGTTTGAAGTAGATTCTTAAAACTTCGTATGCCTAACTATAAATTTAACATAATTGAATTTGCGGTCAAAAAAGTGTTAACTTTGAACCATTGTACAGGAAATGTTTGATAAGGGAGAGCGATATCCCGTTGGGGCTTGACCCAGCACTGATACTTACCTTTGGGGATTATTTCAGTGAGTCCCTAAAATAAAAGCTATAAATTTTTGCACAGTGTAGCCGAAAAAAACTGCATATAAATACAAGCACACATACTGACTTACCAACATTCTCATCTAATAAAGGGTTTGCTTAGTGACTAATAGCTACTCATATAGAATATTACGTGTGCATATGTATATATGACTCTAGTTTCATATACATATGCATAAATTGAAATCTTTTAATACTCACATTACGTATTTCCATGGGCGTCATATCGGATCCTTGATTCTCATCGAAGTAGAGTATAATATAGTGGCATGTTTGGTCTTTTTGCAAAGAGAGGAGAGGTGAGAATGTAGAAAATGTAATAAATAACACAAGAGATTGGCTAACTGCATGGTGTGATATAAATATACCTTTTCGCTTTGTCCGCTTTTGACTTCATATCTTTCATTTATGAAACTTAACACTCCATATTTACTGTACATACACTCATACACATGTACTTACATACATATATAGAGATGCATATATATAGAGTATACCAGATATTTATTTAAATGCTTAACTTTAACCCCTACCTTTTGGTGGCTTCCAAGTAATCTCCGCCATTAGATGCATTTCACTGGTTTCATCCGCCAAAAACCGTTTTAAATGCATTTCACGCACCACGCCAGGCGTATAATCCTGTTCTAAAGTCGTGAATTCTTGCGCTCGTGCTACAATGGAATATTCATGTTTGGCATTCACTGCCACAGCAGAAATGGTGTAGGTGGTGGAATTCCTCAAATCAGTTATTGTGAAGAAGTTATCATTAGACTGACAGAGGGTTTGTTGAAAAAAGAGAATAGAAAATGCAAATTAAATAGAAATAAGTGGCAAGAGAACTTTATTTATTAGTGATATTTGTTTAACCCTAGGGCATTGACCTTTCTCACCCTTTATAATTTACCAATATTTACTAAACTGCTCCTGTGGAGTTACTACTTTTTAAATAAAAAAATTTTCATTTTGAAATTTTTTTTAAGTGCTAGAACTTATACGTATTTATCGGGTTAATAACAGATTACCTAATAAAATGAAGGTTACTTACTTTCAACTGTGCTTAGTCAAACCTCGCAATTAAATCTTTAGTCAACTTTCCGATGAGCTAGAGACTTGAAACTTCAAACTTATTTAGCTCAGAATATGATGGCAATGCAATATGAAAGATGAATTAATCCGCTAGGTGGCGCAGGCATCAAGATATTTGAAAAACTCTTATGGTCCAATATTGTTTATATTTGGAATGTATGACGCATTTACTTAATCGAAATAAGGTCAACTGTAAAGTTGGTTCGACTTTATTTTGCCCATGAATATGCTCATAAATCAGTTACGCGAAAAGGAATAACTTCACAAAAATTTTGCACCTTAAAAGGCACAAGAGTCCTTTTTTTATTTAATTACTACTTTAGCAGCCTACGAATTGGTCTCGTGGGCGCAAGCTTTCTGCCGAATTTGGTGGAAGCTGGCAAAATAGGATGCAACAAGGTATTCCAGTTTGACAAGAGGATTGCGATGTTCTTAAACATTGCTCTTGGTTTCCGGAAATTATCTGTATAATTTGGCCGTAAATTCTCCGGTAACGGTATGGACTTCAATCGTCTGTGTGAAATCACACTTAAAAATGTACATAGGTCCCTCCATTTTTGTATCAACTTCAAGACACCCACCACAAATTGGAGAAGAAGCGCAGTCAAACACTTAGCAAAAGTGTAGGCCATAAAATATTTTTATTGTTAAAGCATCACATTTAAATAACTAGTTAGCACTTATTTAAGGATGAAGTATCTAACAAAATTTATTTTGTACACTAACGGATTAGTTTGAAAATCAGAAAGCAACCGAATTGTTAAATCCTATATACTTTAACCGGAATAGCAATATACTAGATCCTTAAAAATTTTGAACATTACTACATCGCTTTTCATTGTATGAAGTGGTACATCTGCTGCCCAGTTACTTTAAATCGCACACTTGTGCTGCCTGCATAAGTACTAGCTAGGAATGTTAAACCCTAGATCCGGGATTTGTAATTTGCACTGATGGCAATAATCTAAACTCTTTTTCTTGACCAGTATTCAGTATATTTCTTTTTTTTATTTAATAGTTAATACTTTTTTTTTTATAAATGTCTAGCTCATTATACATACAACACCGTGTAAAAAATTTAAAAAGAAAACAAGTAAGAAAGTCTAAGTTCGGGCGGAGCCGAACATTAAATACCCGGCGCAATTATTAAATATAAGTTTTCCACCTTTCCGAAAGCTACCGCTACACGATAAGCCGGGGTGTATAAATTTTAAGTAAATTAGCGTCCTTAAATTTCGAAATATTGCAGTTTCAAGCATTTCTGAAATATACCGTTATATGAAAAGCGGTCGTAATTTTAGTCCGATTTCAATAATTTTCAACGCTTTGCTTTTATGTGGCAAGCACAATAANTTCCAAAATGTATCATAAGCGTATTTCTTGGCAAAAAATTGTTGTAACAATCAATTTTGAATAAATTAGCTTTAATATTTACTGATTTATCGAGGATTTCGTATTTTCCTAAATTGCCGTTATATGGGATGTGGGCGTGGTTATTGTCCGATTTGGTATGTTGTAGCAGGACCAACAACTGTGCCAAGTTTGGAAGAAATTGGTGCAGCGGTTACCAAGATATACACATGTAACCATAAGTAGGCGTGGTTACGCCCATTTGCCAAAATTTTTTAATATTCTTATTTCTCGTCTAAAACTCATTGTAAATATCGATTTTGAGTGAATTATCTTCAGTAGTTACTAAAATATCGCACTTTTCGTATTTCTGAAAATTACCGTTATATGGGAGGTAGGCGTGGTTATTGTCCGATTTCACCCATTTTCAATACCATCCGTCCTATGCCCAAAAGAAGTCCACGTACCAAGTTTCGTTAAGATATCTCAATTTTTACTCGAGTTATCGTGTGCACAGACGGACGGACGGACGGACGGACAGACAGTCACCGCTTAATCGATTTCTCTTTTCATTCTGATCATTTATGTATACATTTGTCTATATCTATCTCGATTCGTTTTGCCTGTTACAAACAACCGTTATGTGAACAAAGTTATAATACCCTTGTGCACAAGTGCGCTCGGGTATAAAAAGAAATGTGCGAAGAGAAGAAGTGTGGGTATCAAATTAAAAAGGAAATTCTGTAGAATTTAAACAGATTCAAGTTTTTCGTGCAGAAAGACTGGTAAGTATCGAAAGTGTCCTTTTAAAATTTTATCCTTGAAATTTCGCAATATTTGTTTTTGAAAAAAATGATAGGTTAAGGACTTATATAAACTCGATATCAGCTTAAAAATTACCTAAACGTCCTTGGGATTCCAAAAAAAATTTACTTTTTTTAAATTCTATTTTCATTCTACATTGCATTGAATTTTTTAAACAATTTTGGAATTAATCATACATCACTTTAAAATTACAAAGTCCTTTAAAATAAATCCTGATGTCAAACAGAAAAAATAAAAGCGCCATTTCAATTTTTTCGATTTAAGTTGTTCAAAAGAAATTAATATCTAAATCCCGGGACTAATCCCGGGATCCTGGGATTGTGATAACGACATACCGAAAATCCCTAGCACAGTTACCTAACAACCCTCGCAAAGTACTTCGAGTTTGCAAACACTTGTTTAATTTATCTTTTTACAATTACTTTTAAACACTAATCCACTTGCACTTAATCCTAATATAATGTGCAACATCAACTGATAACTTTTTCAAACCCACTTTCCATTGCCTCTACCCACCCACACTTACCACATAAATAGTCACAGTTGCACCGCTTTGTACTTTAACCATATAAATCGCGGCTGACGGTTGACGCTTTTGCCCGGTGTCAACGTAGGGATTTGTTAGTGTGGCTTCCATCTGAGGCTCTGTTTCATTATTTACTTTCACTGACATCGTGTATACATTGTGATCTTCATCTTCACTTCTTAATTTGATGCTCTTATACTTGTCTTCTGCTGTTGCATATGGCTTTGGGAAACTTGACTCTTCGTCGTCTTCTTCAATATCATCACTTAAACTTTCAGCACTGCTTAGGTATGTGACATGAAATGTAAGGCTTCTGTCGTCTCGGCATATTAATGCCATTCTGTAAGGGATATGTATTTGATGATATTTTTCCGAATGCAAGGAAGTTGTTGCATTCCCATGGCGGCAGTAATCGTTACAATATTGATTGACCTAAAAATAGAATAAGAGAATAGTGTTTCAAAAAGAGGGGAATATGGAAAAAGGATTGTTGTATTCAAATAACAGTTATTGATGAAAAATGTTACTGAAAATTTCATTATGAAGGAAATGTTCTACAACTAAGTGATACGTACCAATTGGGAATCAAATTTTAAAATAAAATTTTATTTGCAATTTTTATGCAAAATTAAAAAAATAACAGTTATTTTTGATTTTTATTTTATAAATCCAAGATAACAATTATTTTATATTTTTATCTAAATAATCTGCAAATAACAGTTATTTTTGATTTTTATATTATATGTCTTAGATAACAGTTATAGGGGACTTTTATTTATAAAAATCATCAATAAAAAACATTCAGAGACTTATACTTTGAAAAGCCATAAATATAAGTCAGTCACCACTTTTATTTTTTAAGTTATACGTATAAAAGTCATTAACATTTTTCGCAGTTAAGAAAGTGTTGGAAAACAAAAGTTTACTACGATTTATACAAATGACTCTAAGTATGATATAAAAAATAAATGTCAGTGACTGATTTATATTGATGACTTTTAAACTAAAATTCACTGACTGATTTTTTATTTATGACTTTTATAAATAAAAGTCCTCTATAACTGTTATCTAAGACATATAATTTAAAAATGGAAAAAAAACTGTTACATATTTGCAGATTATTTAGATGAAAATCAAAATCAATTGTTATTTTGAATTTATAAAATAAAAATCAAAAATATCTTTTATTTGAGGAGTAATTAAATAAACGTAAAAAAATAACTTTAATAATAATAATAGAGCGCTTTTTTTTAATAAAAGTTGTAACTTTAACTTCTGCAAATAACCCTCCATCAACTTAAAGTTCAAGCAGAAGTAGCCACAATACAGTAAGCTTCCAATTAGTTGCTCTCTAGTGTAACACCTTTTAAAGAGATGAGAATATATATTTCGATAGCCAAGCACACATCGCATAACTACGCTGTTAAGCTAATAATGAGTTACGTACAGTTAATTGCGATTAATTAATTTTAATCGCTAATTTTTAATCGTTAATTAGATTAACATTTTGCCAACACTGCCTGCAGTTAGTGTTTGAGTAAACAGCCCTAAGTCTTATTGAGCATATTATCAACAATATTTGAAATAGGGGGAAAAAACCGTTAAAAAGGTGAAAAAAACGAAACCAAATACGTGCGCTGGGTATACAAAGTTTGATTTCACCGGAAGTTTCACTAAGTTTTTCGCTGTTTTCGATTAAGATTAATTTTATTGTCAATCACTTTGATTATTTTTAAGTTTGTTTAAAAAGTTATATTAAATTAAGGTAGGGAACTTTTTAAGTCACTTAAACTAAATATTAAGTATATCTACAAATTATTTTTAACTTTTTAGTTTAATAAAGCGTGTTTTTAGTATTTTAAACTGTAATTTTATATTTCAGTCTACATACGTACATATGTATGTATATACATCAATAAGCAGCACACTATGAAAGGATGATTAAGCGTAATATTTCTTGTCTATCTTAATAAAAAATTGTATTAAATAAGTGGCATGCTTTACTTCACAACAAAAACTTCTCGTCAAACTTTAACTTATCAACTTTGTACTAACTACTTACTTACCCAATTACTGTTCCGCTCCGCCAATTCAACGACATATTGTGTCTTTTGTATATGATGCATGCAATGTAATTTGCATGAAGCTATCGGATAATCCTTCACTGCCAAATTTAAATCATGCAAAAGCGCCTCCTCGCTGGCGCTGCTAGCCAGCAAAATCCAATAGACGAAAAAGTAACGCAGCACAAATATTAGCATTTTACACTTCGCTTACTTTGCACGTACATAAATATATTTATTTACGAGTAGTTCTTTTTAACTGAATGTATTTACATATGTACATTCGAGAGTGAATTGTTTTTTTTTCTTTTGTTTTTGTCGGCTTACAGATAGTTAGCAGTAAAATGTTGCCATTATTCTATAGATTTGTAGTGCGAAACGACGGTATTTATGTATACATTTTTTAAATTATCACCATTTTTGTTTATTTATTGATTTTAAATGAGTGAGTCAATTTATTTAATTAACTTATTTACTTAAGCATATGTGTACATGTTTAAAGAGCACTTTCACTTTAAGTTTCTAGTCACTGTCATGTTATTTATCAAATTTCATAATAATTCGTCGACCGTGATCATTTGCATTTTTGCAGCTATTTTCATACACGTGGGGCTTATGTGTGTAAATACTTGCAAATATTTGCATCAACGCAGATTTAGTTATTATACTGTTGATTGCGCGGTTCGCACTGGAAAGAAAAAACAAAATATATGTTTATATGCGTGTATTTATGTATATGCAGTTTAGAATTATGTTGGTGATTAAAGTTTGCTCACAATTTTTGTTAAATATTGGTCAAAAAATTATTGCTTTTCCTATAATAGCATAACTACTGTGACCATATTAACCAATGTAAAATAAGCGAAATTTTTTTCACAATGATTTGGGAACGCGTACATACTGGTATGATACAAGTACCTTGTCCATATCGTAATTTAAATCAAATATTTATCACTATATAGTATTATTTAATTGTAAAAGTTCCCAATTCCGAAAACTGAAACCAAATTCTTATCAAGGACTTCGTCATTATTTGCTGCCAAAATGCGTTCATCATATTCTTATATATACAAATAGGCACCCCTTTTACGGCTAAACTATACTTATTTGTAAGGTATAAACAATTATATATCATTTGAAAGGTATTTTGATGCTGATGTGCAGTCATCTTTTAAAATTTCAAATTAGTTTAACATAAAGCGGAAAAATCAATTCAAAAGTGACACCAATACCAATGCCATACATGTACTTGGTTGGGCCGGAAATGCCTCCTAAATGTATGTTTTAATATTGATACTGAATTACAGAAACGTGCTAAAAGCTTAAACAGGCGGCAGCCTTGATCCGGATTAACTCGGACTTAATCCAGATCAACTGCAGTCAATTTCCGAGTTGATCCGGATCAACGCTGCCGTCTGTGTTTATGCTTTAAGCAGCAGTTTAGGAATAAGATGTATGTATGTATGTACATGACTAGATTAAAACTGCTAACTTGACAAGCCCTTTTCAGCGCACCAGTCTTCAGTACATATATGTACATACATATCGACGGCTGGGTGGAAAATGGCTCAAGAGCGCCCTATTTAAGAATTTGATTTAAAAACGTCCTATATCAACTGCAAATATATTCAAAATATGTTGAGATATGGAGCTTTTGAATCGGAAGCTGAGATAGAGCGTTTTTGAACCGAATTCTAAAATAGGGCGTTGTTCAACCAAATTCTGAGAAATAGGGAGTTTTCTACGATAGAACGTTTTTGAACTGGCTGCCGAGATAGGCCGATTTTTTCGCTTTATATTAAACTTATTTGAAATTTGATTAGTTCATTCCCTTCGGCATCAAAATACCTTTCGAACGGTATGTATATAATCCTTTATACCCTAAAAGTACATTTAGCCGTAATAGGGATGCAAAGTTGATTAATAAGAATTGCTTGAAATTAATGAACAATTTAACTTTCACTTTCAAGCGTCACCTAAATACTTAACTATTGCATATCAAATACACACACATATGGTATCATTTAATAAATGTCATAGAAGGTAAGAGGGAAACTGAAAGTGATATGAGCAATATTGCTCCTGACGCAAACGGCATATGAAAAATTCTAGTTGTAAACATAAAAGTCCTGTACCCTATCCCCGTTTCGAAAAAACGCCTTGTATTCAAAAGAGGTAGGCAATGCCCCTGAAAAATAGCATATTTGCTTGGAAAATGTCTAAAAATAGGAGCATAACGTATTCATGCGTATATGCGATATTTTTTTGGTTGCAAAATAACCTGCTTTATGTCAATAAGCCCCCTAGATGGCTTCTTTACATATGTAGGTAAGAGAAAGTTGTATTTTGTCAAATGACGCATAACAGCGACCAAGTAAGCGAGAAGGCTGCGTAAAGTTGGTGCATATGTAGTGTATGTGTATGTATGTATGTGCATAGGCGCGTATTTACGTAATGCATACTACATTATTAAGGCTATTTCTTAAGAGTAAATTTTAAGTCGCATTACCACACTGTGACAAGTTATCACTTTCATTTATAAGCAGAAAAATGATACTTTATTTATATTTAATGTAATTCCAGATTTCCACCAGGCATTAAATGATAAAAATTTTAATGACAAAGTTGGGAATTAAAAAAATATCAAGACTGAGGTTAATAGAAGATGAAGATGAAGATGAAGATGACGACGGAGATGAAAAAGAAGAAGATGACGAAGAAGATAGAAATAAAGAGGAAGATGAAGATGCAGAGAAAGAGAAAGGCGAAGACAAAGAGAAAGAAATGATGAAAAAGCAAATGAAGACGAAGCTGAAGCTAAAGAAAAAGGTGAAGACCAAAATGAAAATGGAAATTCGAATAAAAATTGAAATTAGGATAAAGAATGAGACTAGAATTAAAACAAATACAAATCCAAAGACAAAGCCGAAGCCAAAGACAAAAATAACTACAGAGATGAAGAGAAAGACAAACACAACCACAAAGATGGAGACAAGAAAACAAGACAAAAATAAAGATAAAGACTGAGAAGTAATTCTCTGTCACAACATTCTCCTTGCAGTCGCCCCGTTTATTTTTTCATATTGAATCAGGGATGCCAACTGTATCAAGGCTAATTCCCCCAAATTCTTGAAAAAATTCCCATATTTTCAATGGTATTCCCCCAAATTAACTTTTACTATTTAAGACACTTCATTCTCATTTCAAAAAAACAACAAACATTATATTCATAATGAGATAATAGGGACAGTCTTTTTTAATAACACAGTGGTCGAAAAATAAATAGGGACACGTCATTTTAACAAATTTTTTCTATTTGTCTTTGGTTCATTTAATATTTATTATTTTGTGCAATATTATAAAAATTCTGCAAAATTGCATCTAAATTTTTAGCTTTGTAATCAGATTTTTTAGAATTTTATTAGTGTGCAGTTTTTTAGCCCATTAAATTTAATAGCATAAAGTGCGAGTTTGAAGTTCGTAAAAAATCGCGTTGATTTTTGAAAATTTTTATTCTGAATGTATTACGCACTTTTTCCACAAAAAAATTGTCGAACATACTTTTTATGGAAGAAAATGCATTAAAAAATTGCCGATAAAAGAGGTTAAACTTTCTTTTATATTTTTTATATATCTCGGAAACTGTTGGATCGATCACAAATGTATTAATGCTAATTTAAAGCTAATATAAATACCTTTCACGCGACGTATACAGTGTAACCGTTTTGAAAACAAATTTTAAATAAACGTAATTTAAAAAAATATATGTATTTATATATTTTTTGGTTATTAGGTATTTCTGGCTCAAAAATATAAAAAAAAGAAACAATTATGTACACTAAGTGATATACCCCCAAATTACATTTATTTTGAAGTGATTAGTATAGGTGATATAAAAAAAATAAAAAATAACTTTAACCATTGATATCTTCTTTATTTCTTATCATCACAAAATCTCAATCTAGCCACACTTTTGGTTTATGCATAGCTCGATTGTTGATATTCTACACTTATGGAACTGCACGGAACGCCCTCGGACTATTTCTGATTAAATCCTGCAGTATAGAAAATTGTAGGTGCCTCACCTTTGTGTGACAACATCAGGACGCATGCCACAAATCGGAGGAAAAGCTCGGCCAAACACTCTTAGCAAAAGTTTAAGCGCCAATCTATTATTAGTAGCAGGCACTTGGGTGGGGCATAAGCGCGTTCTCAAATTTATGAATGGATTTTCCATAACTATCATTCGCGTGTGCCATGTGGCTTGTCAATTAACAGTACCCACAGAATTGTGGTTTCCGCCAAACCTGTTGCGTAATTTAAATTACAATTATTAAGGTCAGGCCGTAACACACATGGAAGGGTTTATGCACCATTGCACAAATATTTACCGCAAAGGGAAAATTTGAAAATTCGTAGCTAAGGCCGATACAACACAAAATGTAAATCACTTTTGACGCTAACGGTTCTGTATAGGTATTTAATTTATTTGCGATGCATGCCACATTTACGGGTTTGCATAGATATGATCACATCTCTGCTTGGAGAACTCGGCTGTTAGAAAATTTTCAAGGATGTTCAAGGACAAAATTCTAAAAGGCGATTTTCAATATCTATTCGTTCTTGTTTCAACATTTTATCTCTTTTTCATCTCCACATTGTTATTCCACACTTCACTGAAATTTTTAAACAATATTTTTGAATTAATCATAACTTTGAAATTTCAAAGTCCTTTAAAGAAAAAGCCTGCCGTCAGAGAGAAAAACGCAATTTTTGTTTANATTATGTTTATTTGTTTATTTAAGTAGATTAGCGCATTAAGAATTAAACTTTTATTGCGCAATACAAATAACGGATTACAAAAATATGTATTAAAATAAAATAAAAATTACAATTATATAAATATAGCTATGTATGCATATTTAAATATTAACTTAGAAAAGCCAAATAGAAAAATAAAAAAAATAAAAAATTTATAAAAAAAAAAAAAAAAAAAAAAAAAAAAA